GTTGTGTTCCACCAGCGTTCCTGCTTTTATTTCTTTATTCTTTACCATGAAACCAGAGTCAGTGGCTTAGATTTGTGTTTTGTTTTCCTCTCTCAACAGTTGAACACCCCATGGGGGGCGGAAAGCAGCACAGGGGGCCTTTCCAGGGGGTCCGTGTGAAGAACTCGGTGAAGGAGCTCCTGCTACACTTCAGGAGCAGCAAACAGATGTCCTCGGGCTCTGCCGCGGAGGAAGGCAAGGTAACCCGCATTTTTCAGCACTGACATAATTGCTTTTCAGAGTTACTGAAGTTGGCAAAAAAAAAAAACCCCACGCGATAAACGCTAGAAACGGGCTGGCAGCTTTATCTGATGTGGATGGAGTCAGTGTTTTTCCTTTTCAATACGTAATGGAAGAACAGAGCTGGGAAGAAATTAATGAGAAGGCTTGCTGTAGGAAAAGGAGGCAGTTGAAAATGTACTTACTGAGCTTTATTTTAAGGGATAAAGATACGTTTGCGTTATGAAACCACAGAAACTCCCTGATAAGTCGGATGAGGTCATTCATTGCAAGAGTTGGGGAATCTTCTCTGAAGAGAAGCGTTTGTCATGCTGTTGCGCTGCTCCATGTGGAGCATGTGGTATAAAGGAAGAGATCCCTCCAGTCTGAAAAGGCAAAAACGGTAAAAAAAAATAATCAGGGAATTCTGGGAAGATTAAACAGGATTTTTTTTTTTAGAATAGTCTTTCTGAGCGTCTGTTTGTGACATTCCTAGATAAGTGGTGTCACAGGAAAATTTTTGCATAGAAAAGTTCATAGCATTGAAGATGTATAAAATTGACTGGCTTGTTTATGTAAAAAAAAATAAAAATCCTCAGACTTCAATAAGAAACAATATCTTTCTCTAGATTTTCTGGAGTTTTGTGGTATTGTAACAAATAGCTTTAAAAGCCTTAAGAAAAATGGTGGTTTTCATTTAAGTTTCATAAAAGTAGTTCCATTTTCTAACCTTAATTAAAAGCAATTAAAATAAGGTTAGACAATCATGTACTAGAATTAGTCTATACTATATTTTGTGTTTATAGAAGCAAGTCTCTGCTGCTTCTTGTTTTTGTTTATTTTTCCTGAAATAATATTATAATAATGCAGTAATCTGTATTTTTCTCAAAAGGCACAAGGAGGACTGGTGAACTACGAGCAGTACACAGGTAAAAAACCCTTTTTTCTTTTTTTTTTCTCTTAAATACTCTGCAGTAAGATCATAAAAATGGATTGTAAAAGTAACTCCAAATGGATTCTAAATTTGTTTTCTTTTCATCAGAGCTGAAGAGCATACTAGGTCACAGTGGCAAAAGAAAGGCTCCCGAGCTCCTTTCTGATGGACCTTCTTTCAAGCGCCAAGCTAATGTTCATACACACCTCCTGGTAAGCTTGTGGTGATTTTATTTCTCACGTTGCTGTGTGTGATCAGAAACTGCCAGATACAATTATACCTTTAATTTTCTGGGGCTTGTTTTGAGGTGTTTTTTTTTTTTTTTCTTTTTTTTCCTCACAGACACCACCCCAGACACCAACTTCTATGGATAACATGGAAGAGACGCATAAAAATGACCCAAAGCATGACAGCAATTCTGATCTTCTTCAGAACATTATAAACATCAAGAACGAGTCGAGCCCTGTTTCTCTGAACACGGTGCAGGTTAGCTGGTTGCACGCTGTCTCCAGTCACGGCTCGCCCAGTGAACAGTACCAGGACAGCCTGGGAACACAGGCTTTCTCCCCGTCCCAGAAGTACCAGGTGTTCCAAGATCACACCTCCCAGCATATGCTTGATCCCCCGCAGCATTACCAGTTCTCTCCGTCGCAGAACCAGGATTTGTCACAGAGCTATCCTTCGGATGCCTCCCTGGAGTACAGGCCGTTTGCTGCCAATGACCAGTCTCCTGGCTACCAGCAGAATACTTTCGAGAGCCATGAGCTGCAATACTGCCCATCACAGAGCTTCTCCTCTCTCTTGAATGACTCTGAAGGCTCGGAGGGAATCTCCGGTCCCCTCCAGCCGATGACCAGTGCCCACCCGCAGGCTGATGTTGGCCCCCATGCTCCGAACTTCAGCTTGCTTTCCAATAACATCTGTGGTAATCTGGAGCGCAGCGTCTCTTTGGTTACTTTGAATGTCCCTCTACCTGACCAAAACATTGCCAGAAGCACAGCGCAGCTGGGCAAGTCATTTTTTCAATGGCAAGTGGAGCAGGAGGAAAACAAACTGGCAAACATCTCTCAAGACCAGTTCCTTGCAAAAGACTCAGATGGAGACACGTGAGTGCTATTTATCTCGGTGTTTCTGATGTGGAAGGTGGAACAATATTTCTGCTTGGGTTTTGGTGCACCATGGGGTTGCAGTGGAAGCTGATCATCAGCGGTGCTTGTGTCATGAATGCAGTAGTTTTGCTAATCAAATGAAAGGTGTGCTCTTGCTGATGGGCTGTGATACACAGAGCTGCAGCACATTGAATAGATAAGGTGTTTGTATCATCTGATTTCATGTACCTATTGTTAGACTTTTATCTAGTAAATGGGGAGAATTGATTTAGATCCTTTAAATTGCCCCATGAAGGAGATGCCTGTGTTCCTGTCCTAGTCACCCAGAGGAAGTCTGAAGCTGGTAGTGTAACACCACTCCCAGATGTTTGGATTTCTGTAATGACTCGAACCCTGGTTTGTATGGTGGTGTAACTCTGTTTTTCCCTCTCTTTCCTGCAGGTTCCTTCACATTGCAGTTGCCCAGGGCCGACGAGCTCTCTCCTATGTTCTTGCGAGGAAGATGGCTGCCCTGCACATGCTGGATATTAAAGAGCACAATGGCCAGGTGAGGTTCTCAAAATCTTTGCACCTGTTTTGTGCACCTGAGTGCTCTGTGTGTCTGGACCTTGAGGAAGATGTGGTGAAATGCTTATTTAATATTAACCCTGAGATTTACCCTGCATACTAATATTAACCTTGAGCTATTAATACTTCTTGGGATCACCTTGAGCTGGTAAAACTGTGCTCTGCTTCATTTGCCCTGGCTTCCTGGTATTCATAATCACTGCTTAAATAATACCAGGTAGCTAGGGTTTTTATTTGTTTTAGTTGCTCTTTCCTGTTAGAGATCAGATGACTAATAGTTTAAATTTTCTTCTCGATGTTTGCAGAGTGCTTTCCAGGTTGCTGTGGCTGCCAATCAGCATCTCATTGTGCAGGACTTGGTTAGCTTGGGGGCTCAAGTCAACACCACGGACTGCTGGGGTAGAACGCCGTTGCATGTTTGTGCCGAAAAGGGACATGCCCAGGTCCTTCAGGTAAGAACCAGGCAGGCATAGTTCTGCCCCGTCTGTAACATCTGTACTTTGTATTTGTTGTCTTGGAAAATCTGAAGACACCACTCCTCCTCTTACCTTGCTCTCTGTGTAGCCTTGTGAGTCTCAGGGCTCTACAGTAATGACTTAAAGTGAGACTTGAGTTTCACATTACGGTTCTCACTCATGTTTTAGAGTAATTTGGTGGAATCCTCTAGTATACAAAACCAATAAGTCTACTCTTAATGCCATTATTTATTGGAACTTTGTTGCAGTAAGACTTGTACAAGCTTGAGGAAGCAGTGTGGGGTTTGGATAAGACCTAAACGCATATCTGTTCCCACTTTTGTAGGCAATCCAAAAGGGAGCCATGGGAAGCAATCAGTATGTGGACCTTGAGGCAACAAACTATGATGGTGAGTAGTTAAGAGTTTATAATTTACGGAGTTACTGGATGTTACAATGTTTTATGGCTGCTGATGTGAATGTTATCCTGGGTAGAGAAGCAATAAAATGGAGAATATCTTTGCCAGGTTGAAATTTACAGTTACAATTAAAATTACATTACAGTTGGCATATCAGTCAGATAAAAACATGGTTAGTCTGTGCCTGTCAGGGCCTCTTCCATCTTACATATGTGATTGCTGTGTTTGGCATGGAAAGTGTAGATGGCTGTTGTTAAAAATGTGTGAGTGCCAGCGATACATTGGTGGATACAGAAGCAAGAACCTCTGATACCAGAGAGCTGTTTCACTTGAGCCACTTTCCATATAATAGCTCTTTCTAAAGTGCACTTTGTTTAAAAAAAAAACACCTCAAAAAACAAAACAAAACAACAAACGAGAAATAGATTCTTTAATTATCTGCTGGCTGAGAGCTCACAGCAGGTTGCTACTTACCTCCTCTGGCGATGGACAACCCAAATCCTGAGCCATTCAAGAGCAATGACTGTCACTTCAAATGTGGAGCCATCCCTGGGCTTAACAGGGAGAGAAGCTCCTTTATCCATCCTTCAAACCAAGCAACCAGTCCATACTTCTGTGTTGCATTTGTTCATTAATGATGCTTTTTTTTTTTTTTTACTGTTAAGGTTTGACAGCATTGCACTGTGCTGTTCTGGCCCATAATGCTGTGCTGCATGAACTGCAAAACAGTCAGCCACCTCACTCCCCTGAGGTCCAGGAGCTTCTGCTGAGAAACAAGAGCCTGGTAGAAACCATCAAGACTCTAATACAGATGGGAGCATCTGTTGAAGCGAAAGTAAGTGCAGCGACTTTGTGAAGTGACAGATCCAGAGACAGTGTAGAAGCAGAACATGTCCCTTTCTCCCACGCCACATCTAAGCTTTATTACAAAGGAAGTAGACTAATTTGAAAGCTTCCCTACAGCTTAATTTACCCAGGTGGAATGAGAATGTTGTATATATTCAGAACAAGGTATCATCAATGCAAATGAACCATGGGGAAAGGGAGGTGACAGTCTAATTTCTGGATTAAGAATGATGCTATGCTGGCTGCAGCTGGTTGTGTCTTAAAAGTAAGAATATGTTTGGAGCACTCTGAGGTATCTGTACTAATAGGGCACTGATGATACCTTGTTCTTGAACTGCATAGTTTAATTAAAAACTCCTTCCCTGTCCGGTTTAGGTCTGTGCTGGGCCAGATCATTACTTGGTATATATAACATTTGATATTTTGCCTTTGTAAGCTTACTGCCAAATGAGATCTGGTCCATTGTTCCTTAGATAGTCATATTAGAATATATATTCAGATTGACTTTCAGTGACTTGTAGTGCAAATATGTTCAACACCCTGCAGTTACTCTACTTTCTGTTTTATTTGTGTGCATGTTCACCCTGGATAGGTGAAGCACCTGCAGGAAAGACTAACAATTTCTTTTCTAATAGGATCGCAAAAGTGGTCGCTCAGCTTTACATTTGGCAGCAGAAGAAGCAAACCTGGAGCTCATTCGTCTCTTTTTGGAGCTGCCCAACTACCTCTCTTTTGTTAATGCAAAGGTACGATGATTTTCCCGGAATGTAGATATAATCTGGGATGTGCACTGTGTGGCACCATGGGTGTCCTGAGAGGCATGCCTCTGCCTTTCCTTCATGGAGTTCCTTTGTCTTCTCCAGGCTTACAATGGCAACACAGCCCTCCACGTGGCTGCCAGCCTGCAGTATCGGGTGAGTCAGTTGGATGCTGTGCGCCTGCTAATGCGAAAGGGAGCTGATCCAAGTGCCAGAAACTTGGAGAATGAGCAGCCAGTTCATTTGGTTCCTGATGGCCTTGTAGGAGAACAGGTAAGAGAAAAAATAAAAAAATCAAACAGCCCTCTCCTCTGCTCCCCATCTGTGCCCATCTACAAAAAACCTTATTCCTCTCTAAGAGTTTCTTCTGAGTTTTGAGTTGTAGCTTTTAATGGAAAGATTTAGCAAATGCCATTTTATTTGGGGATCTTTGGTTTTAATGTCAGGATCAGGCAGAATATACAAAGACCTGAAATTATAGGTTCCACTTTCAGCTTTTCTTTTTTGCATCTCAGAAGCTTTTTCTTGTCAAGCTAGGTTTTTTCTTTGTAACATTGCAACATACTAGAGGTAATATCCCTTCTCTTGTCCATCTCAGTATGGTGTGAGATCATGCTTTGGTTGCTTTTGTCATAACTGGTAATAACAGTTCTTAGGCCTGAATAACAGATGAAGAAAATCCCTTTTTCTGAGGAGGTATAGAAATACATGATGAAAAAGGTGACTCTTGACCTAAGAAGTTAGTAACTTAAGCGACTGTGTGATTCTGTTGCCTTCCATTGGTTCAAATGCTGTAAAATTGGATCAGTTCTAGTGTAACTGAACTCAGAACCCAGGCTTAGATAAATGAGGAATGCAGAACTGGGTCTAGGGTTTGTTTGTTGGTTGTTTTTTGTTTGTTTGGTTTTTTTTTTTTCAGATTATGACTCACTTCAGGATAATGAATACTAATGTTTTGTCTTTTTCTCTTCTCCAGATAAGACGTATCCTAAAAGGGAAGGCGATTCAGCAGAGAGTGTCGCCGTTTTAAGCTCCATGTTTCTTGGAGTTCAGCAACTCACACTCACTGTCAGTCAGGCAGTCCTAATGTATCTGTAAATAGACCATTTGCCTGGTGTGGGCAAATGTTAGTTGTTTCTATGAAACAAAAGTATTTTGTTCACTATCATATAGTGGGTTATAGAAGAATAAAAAAAGAAGACAGAAAAAAACAACAAAAAAACCCCCCAAAACCCAACAATCAACTTCCTCTGAACAAATGGGAATGTTTCATTCCCAAGGACGTGGAACGTTTGCCTAGATGCATGGATTTCATGGGAAGACTGATTTTATTTAAACAATCATACAGATAACTTCTAGACAAGGACAACATGACAGGAAATCTTTTTATTTAGAGAGGGCTGATACTTGTCAACATTGCAGAGGTTTTTTGTTGTGTTTTTAATAACACTTAAATACTAAGTGCAAGAGAAATCAAGTATTTTTGAAGTTGAATGTTTATTTATGTAACTTTGTAGCTTTCTTCCAGTACCGCATGCAGGGTTGTATATAGTCACTGGCATTATTGTACAGCTGTATTGTTCTAAGAATCTATTGATTACTTGTGGAATGAACTGAAGAAGCAAGTGCCTTGATTTTGAACTTGCAAACTACATATTGAGTTTTAATACTATACTGGTAGAAATCAGGTAAATTCTGTTGTTTTGAAAGACTGAGGACCGAAAGTAGAGTTAAGGTAGATTGTCCCTAGCACTGATTGGTGCATGCTTTTGGAGTTGTTAATAAAACATGAAAAGCCATGCTTCTTCAGGGGACTGTATCAGTCTTTTCTCGTACCCAGTAGAGGTTTTCTTTTGACGGGACAATAGATTGAGGGAGAAAGGTCATGACTTACATTGTATATAACTTTGTTGTACTTCAAGGAATATGATCCTGATTCAGTGAAATTATTTAGCATGTACTGAACTGTTGATGTATGCTGAAATCTCTCCGCCTTAATTATCATACTTCAATATGTGTAAGCCCCACTAGTGTCAGTAGGACTTGAGCACATGCGTAAGTAGTTTGCTGAATTGGGCTCTAGTTAATTCTAGAGACTTAGTGTTTTTCACCTCCTAAGCAGAGTTAGTCCATTTATGGTTTTACCTTATAGGTATAGTGGCTAGCCAAGTAATATTGAAAGTTAATGTTTTTCTATTTTTTAATAATTATGGGTGTGAATGCAAAATATATACTAATGATGCTATATACTTGTGGTCTGTTGGAGAAAACTTCCTCCTCTTACCACTTTCTGAATGATCCCTGCTGGGCTGTAATCCAGTCATATGTTCTCTGTCTGGTCTTTGCTCTTAAAACTGTGTTTGCATCACTTGCTATTCTCTGCCATAACCATTAGTCTAATTGTGCTGTTTTGACAAAGTATGTCTTGTAGACAAGCTAAGTGGAAAAATCTGATATATGGAGGCCTAGTTGTGATGTATTTCTTGAAGGGTCTCATGTAACTTGTGTTTGAATAAACCTGCTAATTGAATTTTGGTGGTTACTGTCTGTGTATAAATGCTGATGAAATGAAGCTTGAGATAAAACTGATTTAGCATGGAAATACTGCGAGACTGGTGACTGTCCATTTGTTAAGAGTGAAATGAAATCTTTCCACCCTGCTGTTTATGCTTTCTCTTGTTTGATGCTGGTTTTGAAGCTAGTGCTTGGGTGTTTTGGGTCATGCACCATACAGTTGTATTGTCTCTGTATTTAGTAGATGTGCCCCAAATAGAGTTAATAGTCACTAGATTATCCAGATTGCAGGTTGTTACCTGAACACTTGTCCCTGTATTCTTGAAAGAATTAGAACAGTTCTGAAAATGTGTTTTCCCCATGACTTCCTTGCCTTGGTCCTCAATTCTTACAGCTCAGGTACAAGCAGTCACCTTAGCATGGGTGAAAGTCTGCATGTCCAAAAGAGGCTGTGTGCATGGGGAAAGACTCTCCTTGCTGTGTGCATGGGGAAAGACTCTCCTTGCTTCACAAATAAAAAGATGGGCTCTGAGCTGGCCATGAACTTTCCAGGAGCAAGAACTGTCATCACAAACTGTCCTTGCTGAGCACTGACCTGATGAGATGGCAACAGTCAAGAAAAGCAGATGACACATTAGGATCTGTAGGAAAGGAATGGAAGGAAAACAAGAGCACTTCTATGCTAGTGTATAAACCTGTTGTCCACCCTTGCCTTACTGCTGTGTGTGGTTAGAGTGTCCCCTCAGATGAAGGTGTTTTAGTATTGTCAGAGGTCCAGAGGTATGAAGGACCTTCCTTGCAGGGAGCAACAGAGCAAACTGGGATTCTCAAGCTGCAAAAGCCATGGCTGACAGTATGACAGGCCTGCAGAGTCACGTTGGGCCAGAGAAACTGGATCATCAGGCCCGAGAAACTATCGGAATGAACTGCTCAGTGTCACTTCCAGAATGAGAGCTGGAGGCTATTCATGAAGGCACCAAGTGCAGACCAGACAGCAGGATATGATTCCTTGAGATTGTTGAAGAATGTGGTAGAAACAGGACACTTGATCTAGTGGAAGATGTCCCTGTTCATGTCAGGGGAGTTGGAACTAGATGATCTTTAAGGTCTCTTCCAACCCAAACCATTCTATGAGTCTGTGTGGGGAGGGCCTGGATGCATACTTAGAAAAAGGATCTATTTGTGGAGAGTTATTAAGAGATTAACCATGTGAGGCAGCCCTCTGTGTTGAAGGGTGAGGTGCTGTACTGCAGGCTCGCCCTGCTCTTAGCTCTTCCTTGGGGACTTGCTGTTGGACACTCTTGCAGACCTGATACCAGACTAGATTAGAGCATTTGCTTAAATCATTGTGGTTAAACTTTTAGTGGTTCATGGGTTCAGTCTGGCTCCACTGATACTGGTTGCACCTTTCATAAGAAGAAAACTTAGGAAAATTATCTTGCAGCCAGTTGAGTGCTTCAGGGGAGCGCTCACAGATCCTTTGCTTTGCTCCTGCTCTGTGCAGAGACTTGTCCCTGAAGTCCCAACAGTGGGTTTTGTTGCTGAGGTAAGGTGAGGGAGAGAGGAGGCTGTACATCTAGCAGATAAGAGTGGGAAATGATGATGGAGACTGAAAATGGGATTGAATTTCTAGTTAGGGTATGCAAAAATGAAATGGCACCTCTTTATGTGAACAGCTAATTGAGCCTAGATTGTGTTGAAGATGCTGTCATCTGCACCTCTCGCTGCAAGTGACCCTACCTTAGTGTGGTGGGCTTTTTTCTTTTTTTTTCTTTTTTTTTTTTTTTTTGAATGAGAAGCCTGAGATAGTATTATTTCTGCTTAATTTCCATTTTCTTTATAAGAGGTGATTACATAGGAAGAAGAATTGATGATGAGATATTCTGGCCCTTCAGATCAGCCCAATCTGACTGCCTGGCACTCTTTTCTGGGTGGTGTTGATTGAGTCATCTCACACAAGGATAAAGTACCTTGGGCTTTTAGGGGTGGCAGAGCATAAGTGTGCCTTCAGTCAATGTCTGAGCATGAAGCAGGTGCTGCTGGTGAGAAGCATTTAGCAGGTGGTGTGGTGCTGTCAGGGGCACTTATGCCCTTAGAAAAGGGGAGATGGAAGCGTTTGAAGCTAATTTAACCTGCCTAGAGCCTAATTTCACTGTCTCAAGAGCTCAGGAGGCAATTTCACAAGGAAGCATCCCTACTCTGAGCTGAACTGACTCATTTTTCTCTCCTATGATATCGGGAAGTTCTGGCATATCTGACATGATATATAACTAGTTATTAGAAACAATCCCTTTTTACTGAAGGGCAAGTGACACCAAGTATTTAGCAGGCTAATAATGTTTATGTGAAAACTTATGGTGCTGGGAAAGTGCTGAATAGCTTTTATTGACACGGACGCAGGCGCACCATTTATTTCTCTGGTTGGCGTAGAGGCAGAAGAGACTCTGGCTTGGGTCCGAGTAGGGATATTAAGACACATGGAGCTTTGTTCCCAGGATGTTTCTGATTTGTTTGTCTAAGTAAGCCAAACCTCAGGAAAGGGTTGCTTTTTGATCTTTGTGGGCTACTCATCAGACTGGAGTTTGTGGAAGGTGGCATCCATGATTTACAAGAAATGTGTTCTGCTTCTGGGGATGGAAAAAATACGTTTCCCACATTTATTGCTCATTTTATATTTTTATCAGAAAAAGAAAACATAGCCAGGAAGTGCATTCTTAGAGAGGCTGGGTGTGGCAGAAGTGACTGCAAAGATACCACATGAACTGCTTGTTCTTCTCGCCTGACTGTTTGCTTATCTGGTTGCTTTTCTCTTAAAAATATATATACTCTCTTGTGTAAGGGAAGAACTGAGGATGATTAAAGTGCAGTGAACATGGGAAGATAAAGAACAGGTTCCTGCAATCAGGTATCTGCCAAAAATTGACCTGGTCTTCCAGTGCATTCAAAACAAAGTCTTCTGCTGTTACCTATTACCTTTCTTGAGTATTTGGTGGTGGTCTTGGCCTGAGATACTGGTGGCTTGGGAGAGTCATACAACTGACACCTCATCAAGTTGATTAAGTGTCATCCAGCCTCCAATAGTGCTATCTTTCACTTTTCATGATTAGGACAAGGACCAGCATTGCTGGTGCAGACACTGGCCTCTGCCTGGGTTTAGAATGGGAAGCAGCACCCCAAGATGTCAGGGCAGCATCTCCCCTCCCTTCCCCACTGCCCCTGGGGTGCAGTGGGGGCTTGCATGGCAGCATGTTGCTACCTTGAGAGAAAGCCTTTCTTAGTATCTTCAAATTGCTTCTAGAAGATGACATACTAATTGGAGAGGAGAAATAAGAGTTTGCTCAAGGGATGGACAGGTGATATTTCTGCCTTTAAATGAGGCAGAACTAGCCCCTAAAGGAAGCTGTTCCTGACAGGTGGCTTTGCTATCTGGGAATGCTCATCCGTACACAAAGCCCATATGGAGAGCTCTGTTTCCTGGCAAAATTTCCTGACTGTTGCTGGCTAATAGACCAGTTTTTAGTCTTACAGTATTTCTTTAGATCCAGTCACTGTTAGCAAAAAACCTCAAAGCAGCACTAATGAAATTGGGAACCGTGTGGAGATGTTACACCAGATGTTGTCTCTTTTCAAATAGTTGGATTTGGGGTTGGTTTCTCTTTCAAGTGCCTATCTTGGTCTTACTGGAGAAAGGTAATATATCTTGGGCTATACCTCAAGGCAG